ATATATATATATATATATATATATATATATATATATATAAATGCGCGCACACACACATGCACTATATAGTCCACAAGAGAAAATAATAGTTGAATTTATAAAAATAACCCCATTCAAAAGTTTACATACGCTTGATTCTTAATACTGTGTTGTTATCTGGATGATCCACAGATGTTTTTCATGAGTCCCTTGTTTGTCCTGAACAGTTAAACTGCCTGCTGCTCTTCAGAAAAATCCTTCAGGTCCCACAAATTCTTTGGTTTTCCGGCATCTTTTGTATATTTGAACCATTCCCAACAATGACTGTATGATTTCCATCTTTTCACACTAAGGACAACTGAGGGACTCATATGCAACTAATACAAAAGTTTCAATGAATCACTGATGCCTCAGAAGAAGAAAAAACGATGCATTAAGATCCTGGAGGTGAAAACTTTTTGAATTTGAAGATCAGGGTAAATGTAACTTATTTTGTCTTCTGGGAAACATGTAAGTATCGTCTGTAGCTTCTGAAGGGCAGCACTAAATGAAGAAAAAAGAAGAAGATATTTAGGCAAAACAAGAAAAATGTACACATCTTCATTCTGTTCAAAAGTTTACACCCCTGGCTCTTAATGCATTGTTTTTCCTTCTTGAGCATCAGTCAGCCTTTTGTAATAGTTGCATATGAGCCCCTCAGTTGTCCTCAGTGTGAAAAGATGGATCTCAAAATCATTCAGCCATTTTTGGAAAGGGTTCAAATACACAAAAATGCATATTACTAGCATATTGACTGTTTATGTGTAATTATAAAGCATATTTTAGCATATTTTATGCTACCCCATGCCTAAACCTAACACATAACTTACTAACTATTAATAAGCAATAATTATTTTTTAAAAACAATTGTCAGTTAATTCAATGTTTTTTCTACCTTAACATTTTGGAGAAGTTTTGGAATTTTGAGAATTTTTGAGTCCTCCCCCTTTTTTTAAACAACAACAACAACAACAACAACAAATTACTTTCTTTTTGCATTTTTATTTGTTAAGTTATTAAATTGCTCTTTAAAATAAACATCCAGACAACCTGAATTTTTGCAATGAGCAGAATATCAATTGTCATTCCAACATCATTTCAAACTTAACAAACCTCATTTTCTTCCTTTAAAATAAATGTCACTTGGCTCAATATGTTCTTTATCTAATGCAGTGCCAGTCGCACCTTTAATCTTGGCTTCCAAATGCATCTTTAGGCCTCCCCAAATTTAAAACAGCAACAAAAAGAAATGACTTCCTCTTTGCAGTTGTGTTTATTAAGTTATTAAACGGCTCTTAAAAATGAACATCCAGACAACCTGGAATTCACATGTCTCACACTAATTTGTCATTTAGAAATCAGTGGCATTTTGATGCATCCATAGAACACAAGCCACACTCTTTTACCTGCTGACCTCCTGAAATAATATCCAAATCATAGAAAAGCTGAAATTTCTAGGAGTGTTCTACATATTATTGTGAGAATATCCCTATAAGTTCCCCACTGGACACAAAAACTGTGGGATTTACATTTGCTCTGTGTTATATGTTTACAGATCATTTCATGTCACACGAAATTGTTGTTGCTCATTGAGTTATGAGTTAATATTAAAATGTCATTAGTATTATTCCCAAGGCATCTCATGCTAATCAGATTTGACACTCTTCAAAGTAATAAAATGAAATAACGTCCATATGGTGTTCCTGTGTTTGCGGCACATTTCAATGGTTCATCACAGGTGAGCTGTACAGAAAGCTCATTTGTCTTTGTATATCCCACAGCCACGCAGAACAATCGAACAGTGTAATACAGTACATATAAACAATAGCTTATTCAAGCTTTTATGTGGATCACAATGTCCGGTGCAGCCCGAGTCCAGGCCTGCATCTCAACAAAGCCTGATTACTTCACGGTCATCGGTCCCACAGATGTGTTTGGAGTCCTAAAGTCCCTCATTCAAGATGTTTTCAGACCTTAATCCTATGTGAGACTGATTCCAGAAGTGATCTGTACATGTCCGAGCGAAGAAACCTGGGATAGGAATCCCTCTCCATAAGACCGTAGACAATCCTCTGAGCTTCATCGAAACACACTCTAGTGGGAGCTTGGACGTTCTGCTTGATAAGCTCTCTCGTGATGTGGTCGATGTTTATCTGAGGAGAGATTGACGGAGAAGCATATTGACGTTGATCGATTACTCTATCGATGAATAAAACCACATGGAGATCTTCAGTTCACACTGTTCTTACCTCTTTGGGAGCTTCTGCCGTGATGTAATGCTCAAATATCTTCTTGGCCCTTGAGCATAGTCTGGACGAACTTCTGATTTTTTTGAAGTCTTCGCAAACCAGCCAAAATTCAATGTTCTCATCGCTGAACTCAGATTTGAGGAAGGTGTGGAATGTTGCCATGCCATCTATAAGAACAAACCGCAGGGTTAATGTGTTGCTCAATGTGACTGCATGTGTTTTACGTCAGTGCAAGAGCTACTGGGCCTCAATAAGTGTTTGGACACCTAAATTATCCTGGAAACTGAATTTCATCGCAATGGATACAAAATGAGTATAAAAAAAATCAAGTGGCAGCTACAAAAAAATGTGCTTTTCTCAAAACTAACTTTTTTTTATGAGCCCTAAGTGCTTGTCCTTTATAATGAATACACATCTTCACTTGATATTAGAATTTATTCCATGCTTGGTGATATTTTTTGCTCTCTCTCACTATATATACAAAAAAAGAGATCCAAACCAAGAAATTTATGTCTGCAAATATGATGTCTAAAATACAAATCAAAAGACAAAAACAGCTGTTTGGCCATTAAGAAGCATTAAAATAGAAAAGTTTGTCAAATTTTCGAGATTTCTTTTTAAAAGGCAGCATTTACTTGATATAAATACAGTAAAAATAATAATTGCGAAATGTGAAATATTATTACAATCAATAATAACCGTTTTCTATTTGAATACATTTTAAAATATTATTTATTCCTGTGATCAAAACCTGAATTTTCAGCATCATTACTTTCAATTAGCATCAATTTAGTGTCACATGATCCTTCAGAAATCATTACAATACACTAATGTGGTGCTCAAGGAACATTTCTTATTATTATCATTGTTGAAAACAGTTGTGCTGGTTAATATTTTTTGTGAAAACCATGATGTATATATTTTTTTAAAGGATTCTTTGACAAATAGAAAGTAAAAAAACAAAAAACAACAGCATTTATTTCAATATCTGTTGTAACAAATGTCTTGACTGTCGCTTTTGATCAGTTTAATGCACCCTAAATAAAAGTATATTTTTGATTTATTATTTAGCATTATTTTTGAGTTATTATTATTTATGTGTGGCTTACCTGTCCAAATAGCTTTTGTAAAATAGCTGCTTTTCTCCTTTGTTTTGCATACATATACCACCAGTTAAGGTCAGTTGCTTGATCAGTCTATCTGACCATCTAGTAAACAGTGTAGGCTTTGTCTGTGCATTTTTGCCCTGAACTATATAACGTCAATTAAAACCACAATGGAAAAGCAGTGGTCGTGAATGCAGGGATAACATGTATTTATAAATACAAAATTAACACTGGTATTTATGGATAATGTCAAGCGTATTAGAGTTAACAAATAATTAACTCATGTGTATGCTACTTACATTTGGATCTAAGGAGGTTTTCCAGTGACTGGGACCACAGCAGGGACTCACTAGGGTTCAATCTGTTTGAATAAAACATAATGAGTGGACGTTCAAATGCAATTCTAACGCAATAGTGACTAAAAGAAAAACTCAAATGAAAGTAGCTTACTTGTCTGTCAACGGGCGACAAAACCGCCACTTGTCTAGTCTCCTGAGGAGGGAGAATTTTTAGTCTCATTAAATTTGAATGCCAGACGAACTTCTGATTTTTTTGAAGTCTTCGCAAACCAGCCAAAATTCAATGTTCTCATCGCTGAACTCAGATTTGAGGAAGGTGTGGAATGTTGCCATGCCATCTATAAGAACAAACCGCAGGGTTAATGTGTTGCTCAATGTGACTGCATGTGTTTTACGTCAGTGCAAGAGCTACTGGGCCTCAATAAGTGTTTGGACACCTAAATTATCCTGGAAACTGAATTTCATCGCAATGGATACAAAATGAGTATAAAAAAAATCAAGTGGCAGCTACAAAAAAATGTGCTTTTCTCAAAACTAACTTTTTTTTATGAGCCCTAAGTGCTTGTCCTTTATAATGAATACACATCTTCACTTGATATTAGAATTTATTCCATGCTTGGTGATATTTTTTGCTCTCTCTCACTATATATACAAAAAAAGAGATCCAAACCAAGAAATTTATGTCTGCAAATATGATGTCTAAAATACAAATCAAAAGACAAAAACAGCTGTTTGGCCATTAAGAAGCATTAAAATAGAAAAGTTTGTCAAATTTTCGAGATTTCTTTTTAAAAGGCAGCATTTACTTGATATAAATACAGTAAAAATAATAATTGCGAAATGTGAAATATTATTACAATCAATAATAACCGTTTTCTATTTGAATACATTTTAAAATATTATTTATTCCTGTGATCAAAACCTGAATTTTCAGCATCATTACTTTCAATTAGCATCAATTTAGTGTCACATGATCCTTCAGAAATCATTACAATACACTAATGTGGTGCTCAAGGAACATTTCTTATTATTATCATTGTTGAAAACAGTTGTGCTGGTTAATATTTTTTGTGAAAACCATGATGTATATATTTTTTTAAAGGATTCTTTGACAAATAGAAAGTAAAAAAACAAAAAACAACAGCATTTATTTCAATATCTGTTGTAACAAATGTCTTGACTGTCGCTTTTGATCAGTTTAATGCACCCTAAATAAAAGTATATTTTTGATTTATTATTTAGCATTATTTTTGAGTTATTATTATTTATGTGTGGCTTACCTGTCCAAATAGCTTTTGTAAAATAGCTGCTTTTCTCCTTTGTTTTGCATACATATACCACCAGTTAAGGTCAGTTGCTTGATCAGTCTATCTGACCATCTAGTAAACAGTGTAGGCTTTGTCTGTGCATTTTTGCCCTAAACTATATAACGTCAATTAAAACCACAATGGAAAAGCAGTGGTCGTGAATGCTGGGATAACATGTATTTATAAATACAAAATTAACACTGGTATTTATGGATAATGTCAAGCGTATTAGAGTTAACAAATAATTAACTCATGTGTATGCTACTTACATTTGGATCTAAGGAGGTTTTCCAGTGACTGGGACCACAGCAGGGACTCACTAGGGTTCAATCTGTTTGAATAAAACATAATGAGTGGACGTTCAAATGCAATTCTAACGCAATAGTGACTAAAAGAAAAACTCAAATGAAAGTAGCTTACTTGTCTGTCAACGGGCGACAAAACCGCCACTTGTCTAGTCTCCTGAGGAGGGAGAATTTTTAGTCTCATTAAATTTGAATGCCAAAAGCACCAGTACTATGATATACGCTGTTTTTAACCCACACTAACATTTTAAAAGTATCTTCAACAATAAACATCACTTACCTGGAATTGACTGGTTTATCCTCCTTGTTCATGTTCTTTATTTCAGTTGAAGATGACATTATGGTTGGCATCTTCAAAACTTTTCTGGTGCTGATATGTGTTGGCGTGCTGATGTGCTTCGGTTATTTCAGTTATTACGAGCGGGCTGTTTTCACAACTCTTATACCGTCTTGTCTGGGCGTCATCAGTTTAGTATCACTTAACCACAATGAAAGAGGAAGTATTTGGGGTGACGCTAACCAGCTTAGACAGGCGCAATAGTGCTTCTGTCTACGAAGCCAGCTTCAGCAAGGCTGTGTAGCTGCAGAGATGCAAATCAGACTGGAAAGTTTATGGACAGATAAGCAAATGCTGACTTTTGCATCAGATCTCTTATATTCAAGCTCTGTGTTTGTGTTTGGCAAACAAACAATGGCTGTGCTTTGATATAAAAGTCTTGTTTGCAAGTATTATTGCCTTTTCAATCATTAATATACTATGGTGTAATTTTAGGAAATAGGCCATCTGAACTGATAGCTACAATAGCCAACTGTATGATACAGTCAAAAAACATCTTTAATGTTTTAAATAGTGCTAATATATTTTGCTGTATCCTATTTTCAAGCCTCAACAAAATGCATTTAATGTTCAACAGGCATCTGAAAGTACCTAGAAGACACCCTTAGCCTGCAATATAGTTTTATAAAACCTTGCAAGTGTTAATAGTGTCTTTGTAATAGGTGTCAAGTGATAGCTTGTTGTAGCGATTCAAAATAACTTTTAATAACCATTTAGCACTATGCTAGAGGATAACTGTTTGCTATCCGAAGGAGTAAACAGTGCATTATACTGGAATTAGGGAAGAGTTTCCAAATGCAGCTTTCACACAGGGAAAAAAAAATTGTTTGCAATCTCTCAAAATATCCAAAGGTGCTTATTCAGTGCTGATTTCCAGAGAGTTTCACCATGGTTAGCAAAGGTATAACAACAGAAACAGATAGTCAGCTAACCCCTGAAGTTGCAGAGTCGTTTGCTTGGTTCGTAAGAAACCAGATTTTGCAGAAATGGTCAAATTAAAAGTAAAATTGTAAAATAAGCTGTCCCGATGCTTAGGGATTTTTGCAGAGGAAAATAATGTATTGTCTACTGAGGCATGTCACTGTAACACAACAGAAAGCCCCAATTCAATTCAACGGTATCACTTCTGTTTTTGTTTCCTAAAACCTTACTTGTTATGACAAATATGTATATATAGAGACAACATATATTTCAAAACATATACTAAATATCTGTTGTAAGGAGCATGGCTTGAAAAAAATACCAAAACAATTGTACTTGAAGGGACAATAAAATGCATTTACAGTCTTAAAAAACATTCAGGCTGTGCATAGGCTTCAGCATCCCTGCGACCCTTCAAAAGGTTTGTATATAATGAGATGTATATCACGACCAACAGGCAGACTGCAGCTTCTGCATGTTCATATTAGAATCTCTCTCAAGCAATTAATATTTGCTAGCTTACAAACTTGGCATTGCATTTGCAACCATGTGAAAACAGGGGGTGCAGCAGCCCCCTCAGCACCCCTACTTCCCGCGTCCCTGGTAAGACTGCCATTGTATACACTGATAAGCCCGTGTGTTCTCAGAACTCCAGTGATTGTATCATCTTAGAAAAAACTATATGAGCAGACAAAATCACATTTCTGGTATCAGATGCTGTTTGCATTGATTTGTCCATTACACAGTATCAGACAGTTTCACAGGAGGTGACACTGTTCTTGCCTAAGGCGCAAACATGGAAATGTTCTCTGTACTTGATGCAAAGCAGAACTCTCTGTACACGTGCTGCGAGAAAATATCTATAACTTTACATATGGATGCATTTGTGCTAAATTTCAAATATAAAAACATTAAAAAAAAATATTGTCAAAATATAAAAAGTATGACACTTCAGCCCCTAGACCTCAAAAACAGACATGGATTTTTGCCTGGCAGACAACAACAAAAGCAAAAAACAAACAAACAAAAAAAAATCATTACACAGTATCAGACAGTTTCACAGGAGGTGACACTGTTCTTGCCTAAGGCGCAAATATGGAAATGTTCTCTGTACTTGATGCAAAGCAGAACTCTCTGTACACGTGCTGCGAGAAAATATCTATAACTTTACATATGGATGCATTTGTGCTAACTTTCAAATATAAAAACATTAAAAAAAATATTGTCAAAATATAAAAAGTATGACACTTCAGCCCCTAGACCTCAAAAACAGACATGGATTTTTGCCTGGCAGACAACAACAAAAGCAAAAAGCAAACAAAAATAAATAAAAAATAAATAAACAATAAAAATAAATCACATAGACCAGTGGTGAGACCATATGCTGAGCAGCCACAACAATAAAACCACCTGCCTAATATTGTGTAAGACCTCCTTGTGCTGCCAAAACAGCCCTGATGCACTGAGGCATGGACTCCATAAGACCTCTGAATGTGTCCTGTGGTTTTTGGCACCAAGACATTAGCAGCAGATCCTTTAAGTCCTGCAAGTTGCAAGGTGGGACCTCTATGGATTAGATTTGTTGGTCCAGCACATCCCATAGACACAATCAGATTGAGATCTGGGAATTTGGAGGTAACTCATTGAACTCTTGACGTGCTCCTCAAACCATTCCTGAACAATTTTTTGCAGTGTGGCGAGTCCATTATCCTTCTGAAAGAGGCCACTGCCATCAGGAAACACCATTGCATGAACGGGCGTATGTGGTCTGAAACAATCTTTAGGTAGGTGTTAAAGGGTTAGTTCACCCAAAAATGAAAATTCTGTCATTCTGTCCATCTTCGGAACACAATTTAAGATATTTTTGATGTCCTCAGATTTCATCAAAAATACCTTAAATTGTGTTCCGAAGATGAACGAAGGTCTTACGGGTTTGGAACAACACGAGGGTGAGTAATTAATGACAGAATTTTCATTTTTGGGTGAACTAACCCTTTAAGTGTCAAAGTAGCATTCACATGAATAACAGGACCCAAGGTTTCCCAGCAAATATTGCCCAGAGCATCACACTGCCTCTACCAGCCTGCCTTCTTCCCATAGTGCATCTCTTCCAGCTACAGAAGCTCGTCTGAGTGATTGAACTAGATGGGATTTCTTTCACTCCCCACATGCATCAATGAGCCTTGGGTGCCCAGGACCCTAATGGCGGTTTAACGTTTGTCATTCCTTGTACCACTTTTAGTGGATACTAACCACCCAAAAAGTCATTTGGAGATGCTCTAGCGCTCACAATTTAGCCCTGGTCAAAGTCACTCAGATCTTTTCGCTTGCCCATTTGCTTCCAACAAATTAAATTCAAGAATTGACTCGTCACTTGTTGTCTAATGTATCCCACCCCTTGTCAGGTGCCACTGTAACAATATAATAAATGTTATTCGCTTTACCTGTCAGTGGTGTTGTTGTGGCTGTTTAGTTTAAATTTCCAAGTGGGTGTATCTTGATGAAATAGGGTAAGCCTCTATTCTGTGCCTCTATCAATTATAATATTTATATATATTTTTTTTTTAACGAAAAAATACAATTAAAACAGCAATAGCTGCAATACAGTGCTAATTTTACTGCATGCTGCATTTATAGAAATAGTGGTCGCATCTCTCAGATTCGTTACAAGGGGCAAAATAAAATGATTACTTATTTGTAAAAATACACGTTATAAACTATATACACAACCAATGTTGGGAAGTTTACTTTGGAAAGGAATAGGTTACAGATTTCAAGTTACCATATTTAAAATGTAATAAGAAGTGTAACTGTTTCAATTACTTTATTAAAGTAATGTAACTGATTTTTCATTCATTAGTAATCATTTTCAAACATTTAAACCAGGCAGGGCTAAAGTAGCACTCAAGACGGACTCCTGTCAGACTTTCAAAAGCCTTCATGATTTGAATTAAGTTGAATAATAATTTAATTTTAAAGCACAGCCACCACAAAATCAGACTTTAGCACATCTTTTTACTTTGAGATCTTTACACATTTTTTCTCAGTAATTGTAACTGATTACAATTACATTTATTTTGTAATTAAATTACGTAATTCCGTTACATGTAACTAGTTGCTCCCCGACACTGTACACAACAGATGTGGTTATTTTACAGTTGTGTTTTATTTCCACATCACCATTCCGGCAGCTTTATTGTAGGTGGACCAGTCATCAGTCTAGGTGGGCCACTTCCACAGATCAGAGATTCTCAAATATGTTTTGTGGAGGATTCCAAGTGGCCCATGAGTTTTTTTTTTTTTTTTGCTAATTACAAAAATAAAAAAAATGTGAATTATAAAGGATGACAATGATTGACAAAAAGTAAATAAATAAATAAATGAATAAAAATCCAAATGAACAGTAATACTTTAGTCATTGCCAGTAATGTTTCATTGCCAATAAGACAATGCTATAATGAATATTACACTGATAAAGAGGGCTCTGTGGAAAAAGCATGTATGACATCTGCATGACATCATGTCTACTGAAACATCATGTTCTCATGTTGATGAAGCTAACATTTCCCCTTTGGATATGAATGTACTCTGAAAAAAAAAAAAGATAAGCACAGAAAAGGAATTCACTGTGGTGCACAGAGGGTACAAACACACCCACACAGAAAGACATGCAACGTCTTTCTGTCATGATGCCAACCACTAAGGCAAAAAAACTAAACCTTTTAAACTTTTAGCGTTGTGCAAACCCTCAACTGTCTCTCTTAGTTGCCTCAGACTTATTTAATCTTGAACCTCCAAACAATTTAAGAACAAGTTGACTGTATAATAATCAAAAATTAGCCACCTAAATCATCATAACGCTGACTTAAACCATATATACTGTTGCTAAGACTGCTACTTTATTATTTTCAAGCCTCACAAGTTGCTATTGAAGCAGCTACTCGCACCTAATTTAGGTATGTTGATGGAATTATGTTCTCTTTTTGGGTCGAAAGCACATGACGTTGTTACAGGTTTCATATGTGACTGTTCTGCAGTTTCTAGGTGTGCTGATGTAAAAACAGCCACGTATTTTGCATGCCAATGTCTATATTGTAACCCATGCAAATGTTTTCTAAAATAATTTGTACGTAAAAACAGGCACGTTTTCTCATAAGATGCATTTGAATAGGAAAGTCTGATAACAGTGTGTATTGTTATTGAGGATATAACATTTTCTCCATACCTTCTATGTACGCATGTCTTTTGTAAAATGGGTAAA